GTGGGTGGGGTTGGGTTAGATACACTTCTGAATCTAAGATACCTACTGGCCATAGAAGCGACTTCCGAGCGTGGAGTAGCATTTTACTATTTAGGGGGGGAAGGGAAAGATATTTAAGATTGTAAGATATCAGATCATTGTTATACTCATAAACGATTCCTGTTATTGTAATGTGAGGGAGAACAAACTCTAAAGAGCAAGGGAAAAAAAAAAAAATCTCTAGCATGCTCAGCGCAGACTCCTCTGAATAACCTCTTAAGGCCTAGACCCTGTCGAAATGCCCTCTCCTAATATTTGCTCATAGACCATACCATGGCACAGCCAATCTACTTCGCGCACTTTCTCCAGCTCTTCAGTCAACTTGCCAACCTCGTTAACAAACTCGGGCATTCCTGCACCGGCCAAGCACTGGCTGGCCGTCGTCGTGGTTCGAATCCTCTCGGCCGCACTTGAAGCACTAAGGCGAGAGAGAATATGGGCGCGCAAACGGGAAAGAATGAGCCGCGCAACAGGGTCTGTGAAGCTGGCCGCACCAACTTCACCTCTATCGGAGTTCACCGGGTTTTGTGCCACCGCTATCTCTCGTACGGGCGCGTCCGTATGAATCTCAACCGTCGTCTGTGTTGCCGCAGATGGAGAAACAGCAGCGCACGCCTTGGCGACCGGCGCCAGTACCCGCCGGATGGTCGCCGCAAGTTGAGCGCTGGCATTAGAAGGCATTGGGTGTGTTGACTCCAGAATCGACTTTACTCGATTAGGTTCAATATCACCAAAATGCAGAGACATAATACGATCCGCTTCAGCCTTCCATTGTGATCGCACGTCACGCTTGAGTAAATTCTTAGCTGCCAGTAAAATAGACGCAGTCGCCACAATTTTGAATGCTTGCGCGTGCAGTCTCTCTAGTCGTTGGCGGTCCAGCTCTAAGGTCTCAGGAACTAGGTCATCACACACGGGTGCATTGCTCAGAACAAGATCCACGAGACCTTGAGCATAAATCTTCGAGGGAGGCGGCTGAGGTTCCCCGTTGATATTCTCCGGATCACGCTTCCGGATCTCATCTACAATGATTTTGTGATGTGTTCGCCAGAAGCGCCTTGCTTTCCTCAGGCTCAAGGATCCGTCACGAAGGCCCTTCTCGAAGGTTCTCTGCTCATACCCAGGCGCCTCTTGGATAAGTTGGGGGGCAGCAAGTTGGATCATAAAGTTCGTATGGTCGAGGGACAGCAAGTCGATTATCCCCATCAGCCTCGCCAGACGATCAATCGCATCTCCTGAAGTATCTTCCGTAAAAGCCTTGACTATAGGATCTCGGTACGGAGCACAAAGCTTCGGTAGGATGGTGTTCATGAAGTTGAAGAAGCTAGCGTAAGAGAAAGCACCAACATTACATTGATTCTCAACCAGCTTTGGGTCTAGCACTTCGCTAATCAGCACATGAAGCGAGTTACCCGGGCGGAGCGAACGTAGTAATCGATCCTGAATTACTGTGGCCATAGCTACTGTCCAGTTCGTACCTAGCCCAGCGTCCACATCTTTGCGCATCATATCACACATGTGATTCATAATTTGTTTACGCGGCTCCGTATACTGTGTCTCTTCAATCTTGAATTCCTTGTTGATGAGAAGTTCATGCACTAACGCACGGTTTTCTGGGAGTGCAGTCAAGATTCTTGTGAAGCGTTCATGCGGGGAGATCCGCTGCCTGTCCAACTCCCGCAAAACAGTACCCTCCACATTGTTAAAAGTGTCGCTAATAGGAGACGCAACACTCTCCGTGAGCGTTTCGGTCGATGAAGGCGTGACCTCTGCCGACCGTGGAATGGCCTGCCTGGAGGCAGTACGTTTCGTCTCGCGCTTAGCCTTCTTCAAAGCATCTCGCACCATCTGCATTGCTCTTTCCGAGCCGGCTAGGCGCTTCAGCCGGGCGAGAAGCAGGATCTGATTTTGCCTGATGCCCTGACGATAATCATCTGCCACACCACCAGCTCGATCATTCTTGACCGTTTGCCAGATTAACTCCAGCTCAACAAATTGAGCCAGCATGATTTCGATCAGAACGCTAGAGTCATGAGTCTTCCAAGCATGGAAGGCAGAAAAGAAGACATTGTAAGCCTCACACACTGTCTGAAGCTCTGTAGAATTGGCCGGCGTCAAGCGGCAGCCAGATAAAAGCAGTGGCATGGCTTGCTCAAACGCTAGAATGAGTTCACGAGCCTTCGCAATCAAATCCTGCTCCTGTTCACCGTTGCTGCTCAGCACTTCAGCGGGATGAGTTACGATTAAATAACTGCTGAGAAACGTGCGCACAGCGCCCCTTCCGCCCATTGTACCACTTTCCATATCTTGTAGTCCACAAAGTCGAAGCACACGAGCTGTTACGGTCAGGACTTTATTCTCCGAAAGCAGGGCTCCAACATCCTCAAAATCCATGTGCTGAATGCGGTTGGTTGTCAAATCTAGCGTTCGAAACTCCTGTATAATCCTCCTGGTATGATAGGTTCTCCATATTCGCTGGATAGTCCTCGCGGCTGCATCATGCGTAAGTGGGCTGCTAACCACCTTGCCCATCTTTTTCTCTTCGCTAGTAGGTAAGCTGCTTGTGCGGTGGCGTCGATGATTTTGCTGATAGAGTGCACGCCGCTTCTCGGCCTCTGCAAACTTCTCTGCCATTTCCAAGCGAAGCCTGGCGTGCTCTGCAGCTTTCCTCTCCCGGTTATCTTCAGCCTTCTTCTTCGCGCGACGAACTTCTTCTTCACACTTGGCGGTGATCTCCGCCAATAGTCGCTCCCGAGCCTGCTGAGCAGCCAGGGCTCTCTCTTCCCTTTGCAAATTCCTGGATGCAGCTTTACTAAGGGCAGCGCGAAGCCTTACCTTCTCTGCATGCAGAGCACGGTCTGCGAGCCTCGCTTTCCGGCTCTCAAGAATGGAAGTTCGCCGGAGATGTTGCGCGATATTATCGGTGGGAGATATGCCATGAGATGAAGCGCTCGAGTGGTGTGAGTGTAAAGATGAGATCGAACTTCGACGAGAGGAGGCAGCAGAGGAGCGTCGAAGCACATTCGGCTTTCGAGAGAAGCGGGCGGCGAGGCGGGTGGGTAAGTTTAGTGGTGGTGCTTGCTCCCCTGGCAGCATTTCTATGTCTGCTTCCTTCACAGAATCCGCAGTACCTGCAGCACCTGGGAGCTGAACCTCAATATCTGAGTTGCGGCGGATCATGATCTTCGAGAAAAATGAGGCTATGCTGCTCGCATCCAAGGCAACGGGCGGTTGTCGGTAGCAGGGACCAGAATATATAGAAGAGTGACGTAAAGTATAAGCCTTGATCGACAGAAACAGATACTACTCTCTCAAGGTGGCACCTAAAAAAGGAACTCAGGGCGAATTTCGTGAACCTGGGTCTGCAGAGAGATGTATCTCGTTCAGAAGGGGGCGTGAAGGTCAAAGAGCTGGGGGTGGAAGTGACTGGAACGTACTTCGTGGTAGACGATGGTGAGGGTTCACAAAATATGTAGAAGAGAGATAGAGAGAGGGAGGTGAAGGCACCCATTCATTCATATCGCAGAAACAAAGTTGTTATCTAATCTCATTCTGAAGAAGGCCATCGAAGAATGCTGCCTGAGTAATGCAGGCCGCAAGCAGGTGGTTGGCTTAGGTAAGCATTGGTAGCTGTCGACTACAGTCAGACGAATGACGCTACTAGCACATGGTCAGAGTGGAAGGCGATAGATTTCATGTTTCTTCTGGGCCAAAAGACCTTGACCAGCGAATGAGCGACTCAAACATTGTCGAATACCCATTGCCTGAGAATGCCGCAGCTCTAGAGGCTGACCAATGATAGTTATATGTAAGATGTTCGAGGTAATTTGTACTACTAGTTAGGTAGTCGTTGATTCCTACTGTGTATGGTTGGTTAGTTAAAAGTTAGTCACCTATGTATTGTTAGTCAACTAGGTACTCCGTATAACTATTGAACTACAGTGGGGGGCAATTACTACCTAGGTACTAGGTAGTATCTAGAACACCCGTTTATAGATTAGCGTTAATTTGGTAGACCGCCTACACTTCTACTATAGTAAGCGGGACGGAGGCACACACTCGAATCACATGTATATTTTGGAGCTCAGGTCGACGTAGTACCTAGGATGTCAACGCTAAACCATAAATGGGTGTTCCAAGTGGATTAACCTTGGAACTTGAATTCCCTCCCACTGTATGTAACTTAGTTCAAACTAACACACGCAGAGATTAAACAAGTTGGTACTGTCTACTACTCTCTAGTATGTAATAGTATACAAACAAGAAGCGTTGTTCTTATTGATATATATAGGTGTATATAAAGATTTCCAGTGCTGAAGTTGTGTGGTTTCAGTGATAGGCACAACAATGTCTTTATTCAAGCCCTAGTCGCATATATGATCATTTTCAACCCACATCTATACACAATCTCTCAGACATGCTAGTTCCTGTCCATGTAGCGTTACCGTAGATTTTTTGGTAAATTTGTGAATGTCCCATCATAAGCTCATACGAGTCCAACGCTGTTCTCCCGGCTGATAAAGGGAGTTTTCAAGCACCAAAAATTGTTTGTGCAGACAAGCCCCGGGACACTTTATAGAACTGCTATACATGTTCATCGACACTAACGTGAGGAAGGGAGAAAAAGAAAGAAGCACTACTCTACCGTCATACAATTCAACCTATTACTAAAAGCGAATGGGGTAGTAATGGTGTGTGAGAGAAGACTGGCTATTTTCATCGTCGTCACCTATGACCAAAGATATCTATCTTCTCATCATCATCATCATCTTCCTCTTCATTGTTTTCCTCTGAGTTGCTGCACCATGACCGCTCATCATCATCCTCTTCGTCGTTGGCTTCTGAGGTTCCATCTACCGACTCAGTCCCTCGACTAAGAAATCCATACCTGTATTTGAATTTCGCACCCCAAAAGCGGATTTCCCCGTTACTCTCATTTTCATTCTCCTGGGGAGCCTGGCCATTAGAAAATGACGTTGACTTTCGTCTCTCAGAGCCACGATCGGGGGGTATGCCGAAATAGTTACTGATCACTGGGGAAACAGCACGGCCACGACTGATGCTGTAGGAGAACCGCCCACTTGGCTCAGTTGATACCGGGGCGTTGGGTGGTGCGTTTGAGTATAGATCTTGGCCAGAGTTGGTGTCAAGTCTCGACGTTGTTAATACTGGGAGCGCAATATTGCCCGCGCCTTGAGATGATGACCTTGTTCGGGATGCTATGAACTCTTCTCTCGCATAATCATCCTCCGCTGAAGCCAGTACGTCTCCGTTCAATAATCGAATTTGAGCAGTGTTGTATGATTCGCACCTGGCTCGTTAGTCCGCATCAAACTGGATCATCCTAATAAGCTTACATATCACACCTCAGTCCCAGCCAGTGGTACTTAACGACAGACTTTGCACCACAATCGTTACAGTAAATTAAAGCCTTTGTGTCATTGAATTCAGCCGGCATAGGTTGACTTTGGATCGTACGGTCCAGGTTTCGAAAGGTAGACTCCATATTCGTAATGGTCTTGCTGCATATCGGACAGCGATATGAACTCTTTGAATACTCGGAAAGACACTTTTGGTGTATGCTGTGACCACACCGCATGAAGACGACGGTCTCAGGAGAAGTAAACATGTAGTCCCCACAGATAGGGCAATCACACTGCGTCGAGCGCTCAATGCATCGATGCGTATTCTCGATCGAGATAGGCAGGCAGACGCAACAGGTCTAACATTGTTTATTAGCAATTGCCGATGAGCGTGATTTCCCTTTCATTGGGTCATTGTACCCTACCTTGCAGTGAAAAAAGTCTTTACCTAATCCTTGGCCGATTCGACAGATTCCGCAGTCATTGCAATGGTAGATACTTTTGCTAGTGTCGTTGTCCCAGAGCTTGCAGATGTTGCAATAGTACTGCGAAGATTGTTCCCCGCATTGCCTACAAAACTGCGTGGCAGGTTGAGCATGCCCACATAGCATGCATAGCATGTTTTCTGTTTTTGGCCGATCGAGGTGATGGTCTTCTGCCTCGTCGTGGCAAAACCGACAAGTATACCATTTTTTGCAGGCGTAGCATTGTAGTTTGACGTTCCTTTTATAATGTTGACAACCTAAACAAGCCTCTTCGAATTCCTCAGCATCCGTATCATCAAGATCTTCAGGAGGTAGTTCTAATTCATCTCTGGGGGAAAAAGTTGGTTTCAAATCTTCAGCTGTCAGACAATACTGATTTTCCTGATGTGCGATCGAAGCTGTGGCAGGTGGGGTTAGGCATTGTTGGTCAAATGATTGACTGCTCCAGCCGTAATCTGGACTGACAGGTCGATCCGGGCTTCGGAGCCTGGATAGTGACGGCATCATTCTTATCGTCTGGTTACCCAGATTACTTCGAGAGGCATTATAGTTTTCTGTCATTAACTCGTGGATCATACGTGCTTGCTCCATGTTACTGTAGTTTAAATCCCGGATGGCATGAATCTTTTTCCTCAAGGCACCCATTCCATCATCTTCTGGAAGCGAAGACTGTCCACCCGTATCAACTAGGTCAAGATGACTGTGGGATACTCGCTGGGCCTCCCGCAAGGTTGAGCTTGTCTGTTGAGAGGCATCTTGTGTAGAGATAGCAACAGGGGTGGACTGCCGTGGTTCCGTCAAATCGATCCCATGCATGATAACCGCATCATTGTCTGAAACTCCAGAACCGTTGTTGTCGGTGATCTGCCTAGTACGGTGCGACAGAGGAGATATTTCGGTTTCGTGGTTCTGATCGTTGAAACCAGTCGGCCAAAGCGTAACGGACGAGGGGCTATCTTCGGAGGCAACATTTTCACCATAAGCCCCTATACTAGGATGTATTTCTTGCTCTGAATATGACATAACACCTCTCGCGATGTTATCGCAGTCGTCTTCACCACTGTCTGAAGAGCACCGATCATAGATGCTCGAGGCTTGAGTAGCAGGCGGGCCGGATTCCTCAGTCTGCTGTGACAGACGACGGGCTTGCCGAACGACGGGTTCGATCAGCAAAGAAGTGATGAGCCCGCTCATGAAGGGCCGGAGGCAACATTTGATTGAGAATAAAACATAGGCTGTATTGATCTTTTAAAATGCAGAATTCCGGAATTTATGTTGCAATCTCAAGGAATAAATATCCTGCGAAAGTGCCGGAATAAGGAAGGCAAAGCATGTGACAATTAGAAGCCGGGATCGACCGCTGATTTGTTGCATGACTACGAGTCCCAGATCGTTCTCATGGCGGAACCCCGTAAATCTTAGCTTAATTCCCTGCTGTTGGTTCCAAATGAGAATTACCTTTTCTGTGATGGTTATGGCTTGGTAGTAGCCCTTACTACTTGTGGCTACTTCATAACTACTTAAAAGCTTACCATTATGTGCTGCCATTTCTAGTTTACAGTAATGTCGTCTTCCAGGTTTAGCCCACGGAATTAGCCCATCACCGTAAGGAGTACTCATGGTATTTAGGGAAAGCCAAGTGAGAGACGGGAAAAAGGGGAGGAATAACTAAGGTAGGCATTAACACTTCTCTACTGTACATAATCATATATTGTATTCAACAGGGGTCATCACTAATGTGTTTTCAAGTCGAAAGACGCAGACTGTAGATGCAATACATCTCTGTTGGACCAGAACTCCTCCGACTTTCCAGAATCACACAATCAAGTGCGACTTTAACCAGTGGTTAGAACGAATAGTAACATTATCCCTTATTATTTGAGGCATGTCCCTAAGCTCTCATTCAGAAGCATTAATGTCAGATTAAATTGCTCATTGGCATCTCTGCGTAGACTGGACTCTTTTTGGTCAATCCCTAGCCCTTTCAATCTTCACAAGTTAGAGGTAGCACTGTCGCAGTCCTTTCATTCTCTCCATATGTCACCTACAATCGCAAATCCTTTCTTACTTGGGGTTGCTCCCAGTACCTGACCATCATCAAATTCTTCACGATCTTATGTTCCACGCCCGCGGTGTCGGCAGCTCGCTGGAGGAAGCGTAGAGTGTTGGCTATTCTGTGTGGATCGAAATCATGACGAGAAGATGAGCGAAACGAGGATCGCAAAGTTCGGAGAAGAACATGGCGCGATGGCGTAGAATAATTAATCACCCGCAGTCCTTGCCGGTAAAGGTGACGGTAGGCCTGAATGACAGCTCGCTGATCCACATGGGCGGTACTACTCATGGTGTTTAAGGTTGTAGTGAATGCTCAAATGACCGCAATGTTCATGGCTATGGGTGACAGTCTCAAGGGAACAACATTCTCTGGGAGCCAGAAAATGTCCTAATATCTGGAGAAAGAAGCTGGAGCGGCGCTCAGTTAACAACTAGTCTAGCCGAAATAGGTAGGCGCCTCCCGCGCGTTAGGCCGCAAATGATCGGCTGGTTGCGACCCTCCGCATCTTTCTTTCTATCTGTATGATGGTCCGCGGCGCGGCACTGCAAGCATAGCTTCATCAATTTGTCCACTTTCCTTCCTCCCTTTTCTTCCATTTGAACGATTGTGAAGCAGAGACCGCACCGGACGGTTATAATATCCAGCCCTATCTTTCCCTCTAGAGCTGCTCGTGTTTTGTGTAGAGATGAATCACTAACTGGCTTTACCAAGCTATGGCACGCTACTGATTGCTCTTTCTTCTCCCGAGCTACATGGTCAGCTCGTCGAGCTCACCTGGAGTTTATGCACTGCGTGCTTGAGGAGATACTGTTATAATGAAATCTTGTCTTCTGTAGTGACTTGAAGACCAGACATCCACCTCATGGCCCGAGTATTTCGAAGGCCCGCTTCGGCCCTTGCCAGGCGTGCTTCAAGTAGGGCTGCTCAAAGGGCCGCCCGGAAGCATAAGGTGATCATGGAGTCCGTTACACAGGAGAAGAAAAAACTTCGGAGTGTTGTATGTTATTGTATCGCTAGCTTTGCTCGGGACGATCTTGACAATCATGGCAGATATCTTTTGAAGCAAAGGCCCCCCTTGGTTATACCTTCATTCCCGCAGGCAACCCTCAGCTCACCTCTGCATGCAAGGAAATATGCCGGAAAGATGGTCTCAAGGTTTTTGCTGTCACGGTAGGCCAATAGACGTTTCTCCACTCCCCCCCTGGGTCGCCGCTCCGTTTTTACTAGGCCTTTAGCACTTCTCTTCTCTAATTCTTAATCTTACCTAACAGACAACTCCACATATGCACACCCATAATCTTTCGCAGCATGTGCACAGGATTGGGTATCATTTTCCAAGTGCTATTGTTGCGACTGTTTGTATGGATTTAAGTCTCTATCTTACGCCAACAGGCAAGGCAATGCCATTCCAAAGCATTGGCTATACACAAACTCGCATACGCACTAACTCGGAGTCTTCTCAAACAACCATTAATACTGAGGCCCGGGACGTGTTGAAGGATCTCTTCCCTAATATACCAGACAACGATCTGAACCAGATCATCAAGACTGCGTTTCAAAAAGTATGTGAAACATTTCTGCACCAGCTAAAAGCAGGCGCGAGATAATCGTACTAAATCAACGGAAGGGTCAACGCAAAGTGGGCACGGCAGTTGAGCTACCCCTCGCTCGCCGAGCGCAACTAGCAGTTGTGGCCCATATTCGACATGTGTATACTGATTACGATCGTCTTCTCAAAACCACCTCATTCCATGAGGCTAGAAGTATTGTTGAAGAACCTACCTTAGCGAAATTGGTGGAATGGAGAGGCGATGATGAAAACGGGAAAACAGTCCTAGAGGACGTCTTCCGTGAAGTCATTGTTATTTCTGATGATGAAGATAGTGATACTGAAGGTGACATACCTCAGACTATGGATCGGGACTACAGTATAGAGATCGTTTCGAGCCATCCACATGCAGAAGACCTTCAGACGAAGCCAGTCTACTACGCAAACTCCACCCATCGAGAACATCACCTGGAATTCTCGGATGAGGAGGCCCCGCCGGGTTTTCATTTCATTCGAATAGCTCCTAAGAAGCCCAAAATTGACCGCCGCGGCTTCAACAGATACCAGGCCTGGGATCGCGCCATCCACCGGTATAGGAATGCAGCCAATGGGACTGACCAACGCAAGCTTCATGCCGGCTCTACTAATCAGGGAAGACCTACATATGCTGCGCAGCAGCCTTGGCAGGATACCTTCGGGGTTAATAGGGACCCTGCTCCAGCCCAAGCCGTTCTTCATCGGCAACTTTCCGCAACATCATACGGGAACGCGATAACTGAGCCGAACATATTAGCTATCGACCCTGTGGTAGAACGCCGTGTAAGTTCTCAAGGCACTAGTTTTTCACTTAATATAACTATTCTTGTCAGTTAAGTATTAAAACGACGTCTTGCTAATTTTAGAGAAGCCATATGAGGTATATCCTATAACCCGATCACCTCGTCAAAGAGAGGCGGTGCCCAAAGTGGTGCAGGCTCCAGAGTCTTTTGGGGCTAAGAATCTACTCCATCAAGGTGACCCACCAAATGCCCCTGTCTTCGTTAGTGGCCCTAAGAAGGTTCTTGGGAATAATGGGAACCAACGTGGATCTCAGAGACCTTCAGGCCCCATTCAAGGCAGAGCAAACGTTAACCCACAGGACTGTGCCTTACCTTCTATTGAATCTCCTTTGTCACCGGAAAACAATACCCTGGACAATGGCCTGTTAGACCACATTCCCGGAAGGATGTCGGGAGGGTGCTCTATTCGCCCACTAACACCACGTCGTCTCCCATACAAGAATACCCAACGCCCATCACTTGAAGATAGGGTGCAAGATCAACTACCTAGAAGAAGGTGTGTGGCTTACTACGAACCTGTCAATGTCGACAGGGGCCATTCTCACAACGCTCGTACCAGCAATCCGGCGAATGCTTTCACGGGGGAACGGTATATGGCCTTAGGATATCCACCGAGACAATCTCCTGCTCAGGGTAATCTCCATATTCGTAAAAGATATCTTGCACCGTTTAATCCTATTCCTCAATCAGAGCTCCAGCTAAGGAAAGTCCAAGTGTCCAATTTATCTGCCACCCGTCTTGATCTTGAACCAGGGGCCGTGCTCCCGGAAGATTATGAATCTGCAGGAGGCCAGTCGCTACCTCATAACCAATCACTTGAAACTCGCAGGCAGTGGAGGTCTCAAGGACAGCTCCACGCTTTGCCAGAAGCCGGAACTGCGTTTCCGACGACGCATTGCTCTGATAGAGCTGTTCTTGGGTGGTCTTCTAACCTTAGTGAACAGAGGATTTGCCGTCAAGATCATTACACCAATGAGAGCAGGAGACCATTCAATGTATCAGAATCTCATAAGTCTACCCGAGGGCACACTAACGATCACAGTCTCATGGAGTTTGGAAAGGCCCAAATGCGGAGGCACTATGCTGATGATTTTGTTCGTACTATTGATTCGCAGGCCCCAATTCCAATGGAGTACCCGCCACAACATCACCTTTATAGGAACCATTCCCGGGAGCCCCTTATGCAGCGGACCTATGTTCAACTCCCTCATCATCCTTCCTGCAACACTACTGTGCCGGGTAATATCAGCTCAAGACAGCCTTCTGTTCGAGGTCCACTGCATTCGCGGGTGGCATCTGCAGCCCAATCCTATGCTACGATGGCAAATCCGGACATGAGATGCCATGATGCTGGGTTGGTCGAGTCTACAGCCACAGAGCGACCATTCCAGGATTCGCATAGTTTTTCACGGTATGGTTTTGACTACAGCAGTCTGTTTACGAAGTCCTCTCTACACGTGCCCTTCGTTTCTCAACTCATCTACCCTTCTTTCGATGCCACGAGCACGTTGGCTGACCTTTCTTCCAGGCGAATATGTGAACAACACTCACACACGCAATACACACGAGAACTAGCCTACCCTACCTATGTGAGGAGAGGCGATCGATCTCAACCGTGCCACTCAGTGCCTGAAGGTAGAACAGTTGTTATTGTGGATTAGATGGGTGAGCTGGTCTGTTTATGAGCGCTCTGTTGCATTGAATTCTACGGAGCTAGTCTCTAGTGTAGACCCCTGCATGGATACTGTACATACATATGATATCATAAGCATAATACCCAAATGTGTGCCACTTGACATCGTGATGATTAACTACTCCCATGATAATAAACATGTCTGCACTTGAGTATTCAGGTCTATTAGGTACCCTTAGGGCGACCGAAGGTAAGCCGCTTGCATTCGCCTCCTCAGAAGGGAGTAAGAGAAAGATTTAGATTGTGAGAAGCAGAGGTTTTATGAGCAGCTCTGTAGTGAATATCTCAAGAGAGACTAGATCAAAGAATTTCCTGCCTCAGTAGCAACATATGCCTGTTTGCTATCCATCGATTCATTGACCTGAATTCTTTTAAAGTGTGGCCACATGTCGACAAAGAGTTCTATTCAGACAGCCATCGTTTGCCCATCTGCTTCTCCGGCAGTGACTGTCTTCCCAGTCTTCTTGATAGTAGCCAAGACAATATCATACGACACAGACGGTTCTGTCACGACGGTGGCAGTTTGAGAATCCAGGCTGACGTCGAAAGATTTGACACCTAACAATAAAAGAGTTAGTGAGCTGCGAGTTGTCTATATATTCATATATTGCTCGGTAGGTCTTCCATTGTCGTGGTCAACTGTTTACGTATCACCAGTATACCAAGAAGTATTTTTCTTTTCTTTTTTTGGTCCTTTTTTCTTCCCTCCCTCTCCATATTTGCCTTCTCCTCTTGGTCTATTTCTGCATAATTTGGGGGTTCCAGTTGAGGTTCAGGGGATGCTGGGAAGGAAGGGAAAAGGAGGGGACAGAGAAACAGTAACACCTACCTTCCAACTTCTTCAGTACCCGTTCTACGGCTCCTGAGCAACCGCCACAACTCATGGTGACGTTAAATTTGTACTGGTGTTCAGACATGGTCGAATGATCGGTCCGTTTTGATTAAAAGGAAGATGGATGGGAAATGTCTGTTCTGAGGTTGTGTTAGGTGAGGGTTTGGTGGGAAACAAGACAGTGGGCCAGAGCGGAAGTGGGCAAGCCAATATTATCGGTGTTGGTAAGATGTAAATGATGTGATTCTCTCTACCCAAGCCAAGACTACTTACATATATGGCTTCGGCCACTTTCTCAAAAGAAAAAAGCAGCAATCACGCATACCCTCTACTTGAAACAATGATGATACATAGTCTAGTTGATCTATTTTGGGTTATAAATATCATATCATTCCTCTTATTTATATCTTTCTCATTTCGCTGTCCATTTTCAATGACGACAAATGAATATTAATAAATGTATATCCATAGTTATAGTCATATCCCTTCCTCCCTTTTACCTCCTTGGCCTTTTATTCCTCTCTTCCTCCCCTTCCTCTTTTTCAGCCTTCCTTGAGCAGAGGAGACCAAACATAGGCGACTAAAAGCCAGCCGGTCGCTTCTTCTTTTTAGCCTTCACAGTACTTTTCCTCCCAGGTTCTCGACCGCCAAACGCCCCTCGCTCGACTTGGGTCATGGGAAGGTTATCATCCAAGACCTGACTGCTCTGAAGTCGCACCATGGGCTGCTCATTGATCTCGGGCTGGCTGCCCCATTCTCGGACAGTAGGTGCTGTAGATGTCACCGGACGAGGGGCGAAAGAGTCTACTTTCTTTTTCTTCAATCGGCGCTTTGGAGTCGTATCTTTAGTGTCCCAATGCGATTCCTCCAGTTCCAGCGCTTGTACAGTTCTTTGCCAGTCATACGTAGCTGGGTCTGCCCCCGGTTGCCAGTGTTGTAATATACTTGTCACGTTTGGAGACACAAACCGCTTTGGGTCAGTATTGAAACTGGTAAAAGCAGCTAGGGTGGAGTTAAGAGATCCCGGTTTTACATCAGATGTTTCATGGCCTTCGGTTGCGAAGCTACTCCAGTCACTTTCTCCAGCGGTGACAGGCGGGAAGAGTGTGTGTTTCCCGCTCCTGGATTTCGAGGTAAATCTCGAACCGGATGGTGACGTACCCTCCTTTTGATTTGATGATTGTGAGTTAGTTCTATTTGATTCGTGATCTATCCTACGTGCTGCGGCGACCCGTGCCAGGGCAAAATCTGCTGCAACATTTCGGATAATTTTCTCCTTTGTGATCCGTGCGCGAACGGGTATATTATGAGACAGGGTAAGCCAATCATTGACTGATTGGTCATATATCTCTATCAGGCCAGACTTAAAAGGCTCTGTTGATTGAACAGGATTGGTAGATCGTGAACTTAGATGGCCAGGTAATTGCATGACAAGTTGTTGGTGTTTGTGGGTGTATGCGTTGTCTGTTAAGAGCGCAGATAGCAAGTCCTCGACATCCTGTGCATTCTGGTCAACATCATCCAATGACAAGCTGCGGCCAAGGATTTCAAGCCTATGGGTAGTCAGTATCATGGTGTTCAAACGATATATTTCTTCATGAACCATACAGAGTCTGACTAGTCAATTGGCTCTCTGGGATTACAGGAATCTTTCTTTTCAACTGTTCGAGAGACTCCGGGAGGCTTTTCCCATGCCTCTGACTGGAATCGCTCCCTGGCGAAACCACGAGCCTCCCAACAGCAACCTCGTAAGCATGCGAGAAGTCGATTGTCCATTGGGAAATTGCAAGTGGTGAAATATTAGAAATCCCAGTATCTGGCAGAGTAGGCGTTCCAGGGCCCACTACAGACTCGTCGCAGTCATCAACTATGAAATCCCCGTAAGACAGAGATGAATGCAACTGCCTTTGGCGTGTCGTTGGGTAGCGTCTTTTCAACCGGATGATATCTTTTTCCAGGTCTTGCCTATATGAGGCACCGTTATCGGAAGGTCCAACATATATTGACTCATGTATAGATAGGCGCGAGTCTAACACGAAAAGCTTTATAAGCTTTAGACCCGGATCATAGTCTTTTCTCCCAGCCGTCGATGGTAGATGCATGATATTTTTGAAAACAAGCGATGAAAAATGTGCAGTACTAGGTTGAGACTCGACGTTATATTCAGACCCCAGCGGGATGTCTAAAACATAGGGATCGGGCATAGGTTCTATGTCTTCGTGGCCGGAGGATACTGCGGGACAATAGAAAGCTAGTGCAACGTGGCTTAGCCTTGAGTATAGCACAAGATAGAGGTCCTCATATATGGGCAGATGTGTCAATTGCAAAGTGGTGTCTTCCGGATCTCGAAAGTGACACCAGGACAAGCGAGGAAAGAGGGAAGGCTTTGTCCCATCTTTAGGGGATACAACCAAGTCAGTGTTGACATCAAACCAGAAGACCCGTGATGTCGTTAGAATGAAGATATTGGATACGTTGCAGGCGCTCCGCTTAACATCCAAGATCCACTCTGACTTTTTTTTCAGACCAAGCTCTATAGGATAAGGGCATGCCTGGTCGTCTTCCATCCGATAGAGCATGGGACAACGCCTATCAGCGACAACAAAGCTATTGACATCTCCAACCCACTCTATGGTCGCCCATCCATCATGTCGAGGATAACCGTCCATATCATGGCTGTCACAAAGATCTAGCCATGGCAGTGCGCCAGATTTGACGCATGTAGCAGTCCAATTACCTTTATTTTGTCTATGGCGACCAGATATTTCCCAAATGCTCCAGTTTCCCCTCTCGTCAACAATGCCAATTTGCTTCTGGTACCACGGATTGAAAGTCACAGCTGCATGTGTAGAGCCGCCGGTTTGGGAATTGGATATTTCCACCAATGGATTTGCATCGAGGCGGGAATTACGGGGTCTGCTTGGCAATATCTGATCGCTGTTGTGGCATATGTGAGCAGGAACAGGCGTCCTATGATGGAGTGGCCGAAACACCAAGGTAGAATGAGGAAATCGAGCCGCCATCCACGTTGGCTTCTCTTCCACGGTGCGCGCAAAACATATCTGACGAACAGGGGCACCTCGTGCAGACCACTCGGCACCTCCGGTTTCCTTGATGGAGGGAACACGCATACGGACTGTTGCATCCAGTTTCAAGTCCACACAATCTTCGTCTAGTTTGTAAAAAGAAATAGCATTGCCACACTCCCCAGACGCAACTACTGCGATCGGAACAGTTCGGCTCCCCGGCTCATCGTTCTCGAGGTCGACTGCATACCCCAGGTCTAGGAGTGAGGAGACTAAAGGGTCGCATATTTCGCTTGTAGTTGTGATGGTATGGGAGAGAGTCTCATTGTTAACGAGCGGCCAGCATGCTGTAAGTTCAGGGTAAACCTTTGGCATGAGACTTTTATTCTCGATCTGTGATGATTGTGGTGCTGTAAGGGGCGATGTGATAGTAGTCTTTGTTGCCCCAGCGAAGGTTATACGAGGTGCTTATAACAGGGTCAGTATGAGGGAAATTAGAAAATGGTTCGCATTGTCCAGAGAAGCTTACGCGGAGTCAGTGTCCGAGGGAATTCCCAAATCTGTGTCTCCGGACGGTATATCGCTTTACCCAAGTGCCCATACTGTAGAGCACTGGTAGAATGTTCATCCATCGGGGTTCTCTTGGCTCCTAACGATATGTACAAGCCCTAGCCTTGCAAGCATATCGAGAATCGACCAGTAACGCGTTAAACGACGCAGTTCACGTTAGCCTAGAAGGCACAAGCAACCCTCTTGTAGGTTGTGGCTAAATATATGCGTCCCTACCGGTTATTGACAAGTAAACATATGGAAGGGTCGTCAAGCATAAATATATTTACATGTGCATGTACAATACAAGTTGATTGGGTGGGGGGTGGTTTTTTTTTTTTGTTGACACATTTATCTGCCACATTTTACCGCCATAAGCACGTACCAGGTGTCCTGTGTCGCCGCTGCTACTCGTCTAAATATGATATTGCATGCCTAACCTTGAGTTTACGAGGAATTATAGGTTCAATCTGCTTGAATCTACAGGAAGCCGCAACTCTTTGCACTCCATACGACTTACAATCTCACCTTTTCCTTCCCATTGAGGGGTTGTCATACTCGTGATCACCTGATATATATCCACACTCCAAAGTTACTGCCAAGCCTTAGTTCTCCGGTTGCATCGCAACAAACAGTTCAGGCGAGCATTACCACATTGTTCAGTAGAACTGTACCCTTACCTTGTTTATGACCAAAACGCGAATGATATCAGAACTAGACGTGGCACTCATCATGACTTCTTCTTTCGAACCCTCATTATCGACTAGTGGCATGCGTCCACCTCTCACATCAGCAGATGCACCTTCGATGGCGGATTCACTGCCTAGTATAAACTTTGGTTTCGAGGATCTACGCAATCGCATGGCCCAATTCACTGCTCGGTTTGATGCTTTCATTGAAAAAGGTAGAAAGCAGATATTGGAGGAGAGGAATCAGTTCAAGATCGGGCTGGCAGAACTTCAGGGTGTGTAAATGTGAACATTCAAAGGCACTGTGACTAATTCATGCTTAGAGGACCAACGGATGAAACAGAGAGATATAGAGATCTTGAATCTCAAGTTACAAACTCACGACCAAACTATCCAGAAGGAAGCCGCTGAAGCCGCTGAGATGCATGGCACTATTTCATCAGTAACAATGGAGCGCGATTCTCGTCTCGCTAAACGAGATCGTTTAAAGCAACAAATCAACGAGACACAGAAGGCTATCAATCAGAAAGTGGATGCCCAGAAGGCTCATGCCCGGCATCTCGATGCACAGGCCCGCCTAAACATACCAGAACTAGAATTTTGGCAGGATTATCTTTGTCTTCGTATTGAGGGAGCCGGGCGGGAAGATCGCCTGAAGTTCGTCTTTAGCCACCTACTTGAGAAGGACTGGGAAGCTGAAGCCTGGTTTGAACTCGGCACATCTAATCGAGATTATGAAGTGTTCCATACACGCCCCAAAGTGGAGAGGGATGCTCTTAATAGGGAGTTAGACAATTTAAACGAGGATCGCGACTTTGGTGCTTTTCTAAAAAGGATGCGCCGTCTGCTTGTCGAAACAATGAAATAGAAAAGGCCCTCTAGTTGGTACGGCGGCGGGCTTTGACCATGTTGACGACAGCATAGCATAGAGTTTCATGCTGATGGGCATGATTTATGGCCTGGTGTACGTCGAGAGAAATGCATTTTCAAGAAAGAAGGGTAACGAAAAGAGTTTTTCACACAGTCAACAACCCGCAGGCAATTTACTCGGTCTGTCGTTTAGTAATTTGCAGAGGAATGTCTAAATATCATGGATTGTATGCGTCAACAAATCAGCCGCCTGTAGCTTCCCTGTAGAATGATATGCTACGGCTTGCCCCAGCCGTGGCAAATCCTTCTGACTTCCCAATCTTCGGTAGCCATTTGACGTTCCAAACGGCTCTCTCTGTTTCGGAATGCGTTGCAACACATGTTCTGGTATCGATCGACCAGACTTTCACTTTTCCATCGAATGATCTTCTTTGTCGTTAGCATAATTTTGTTAAGCAGTTCAGGTGTTAAAGGAAGGGTTTACCCGCTTAAGAGATATTCTCCCGTGTGGCTCCAAGAAAGCGATAAAACCCATGCTGAATGTCCCGAGAGGTTAGCCACTTGCTCGCCAGATGAAGTGTCATATAATACGATCACGTTAGAGTCCCCAGCAGCAGCGAGGAACTTTCCCCCTGGAGAGAATGCAACAGCTCGCACGGGCTTCACTAGGCCTAGAAGATATTAGATATGCCCGTCAATGATATGTGAGAGATTATAGGGATGCATGTGAGGCATATACCTGATAAGCTGAACGGCATACGACCTGTTTCCGTGCTGAAGATATAGATGCTGCCATTTTCATGCCCGCTAGCTATGAGGCGACCATCTGCCGACTATATGAGACTGTCAGCGCGACCGAAAGAGGTGGAAAACTTAGTAGGCAGGTTACCAAGTCTATGCAGGTACCAAAGCTACCCTTGGTCTCATAATCACGTATTTGTTTGCCACCGGCATCCAAATCCCACACTCGAATGTGCCCATCCTGGCTTACACCGGCAAGATACTGGCCATCGTCTGACAAGGCGATTGCCCATATGTCGGTGGATCCTGCATTACCAGCTGTTCAGATGTTAGTGTAAGGAATCATATGAGGATTAAAGCACAATGGATTACCTGAGGCTGTCTTATTTTCGGACCAGGTCCCATCATGACAGGACCAAATCTTGATCTCACCACCAAAACCAACACTCACTGATCTCGACCCGTTGCCATCGGTTACTACATGATGACACCCAAGTTTATGGGCCTCATCGATTGATTGTACCAATGGGAAATCAGAGTGAGCGGTCGAGTGAACCTTGAGAGCAGAGACACCAGAAGCCGATAAAATCTGCTTGTTGGTTACAGCCAATGAGAAGATATCAGTAGGGTGTACTGTACACTATTAGCACAATGTTAATAAGGTAGGGAATTGGAGAAAACTGGGGTGGTGGAAGAATTAGGAGGGAAACAAGCTGGGGGAAGCGCAAAATGGAGGATCCCTATATATACCATTATCTGCGGAACCGCAGGATAGATATTGTTTCGACTATTATTGGGTAGCATGTCAGAATGCGCACGATAATATTCTTCATTTCTTAGGCTTACCATCGTAAAATGTCTTGAACCATGTATGGGGACAATTTAGTTTGGAGGCACCAACGCTCCGCGGGGATGAACAGAGTCGATGTACGCCGTAATTCGCGACAATAAATAGTGGGACAATTTCACCGTCGGGTGAGATCATCCAGGCCCGCCTTCACAGGAGCCAACAATGGCATTCTGAAAAATCTGCATACTACGCAATTTGCAGGCATTGGCAATAATTAATAGGGAGTACGAGATGGGGCCATTCAATTGAAAAGGTTTTGGTAAATAATATTGTAAACAAACACGTAAATTTCCCTGTCAGAACCAGACGCCCAATGCCATGCAGCATACATATACCCGACACTTTATGTATATAGTAAAAGTACAAGCCTTAAGAGCACATTTAACCCGATCGCTTCCTCGCCTTTATAGATATCGTTCAATTTTCATTTTAAGCGGTTTGGGTTTGCTTCCATTGCTTTTTAATGTCTGTCAAGTCATTAGTTGTCAAATTCGAGACTGATCAACACAGTGGTGTGAAGTCACGTACTTTCAACACAGTGTGGGCACAAAACATGAGCACGCTTTATTTGACCGCACCCAGGGCAGGTGTTGAGGCTTTTGACATCCTTCAAAGCCTTGCCAGCCATCTGTCTATGACGTTTCTTCATGTGGGATGTTTTCTTTTTCGGTACGGCTCGGAGTACAGAGTCCCAAATATCGGACAGAAATCCGGGTATATTCAATGCCAATGCGGCGGGCTTCAAAAGGGTTGCAGAGATATTGGGGGTCGTCTGCGCGGAAGTCTGCCAAATGTGAGAGCATCGTCCTCTGACGGAAGACATAGCTTGGGAGGCCATGAAGACACGCGGCATAATCTGTGAGGAAAAGGTGAATGGAAGCGATCGCAGTGCCATAGTGCCCAAGTTTGGTAGTAGACCAGCGGTAACGATGGTAATCGAAGGGAATTAAGCGTATCTGATATCAAAAAAATTATGGCTCTGGAAAGTGAAGCTTCCCGCCGACATTGGCGGGTTTGCTGACTTGGGTCCGGAGAGCGACCTAATCCCGAAGTAGACTAGTGACCCCCTGAGAGCGCAACAACAATTAAAGGGGCCCATAACAGTGATGGTCTGCATCTCTCCATCTCTAGTCAAACTAGCAACTTGGGGGTGGAAAACTCATCTTTCAAGCACTAGACTTTCTTGGTAGTCTACTCGTGTTTGATATTTCAGTCTTCACATTCACCTCAGCCCCATTGATCCCGTCGCTGCTCGCTGAAGATAACCCCAGATCAACCCTCTTCGTTCTCCCTCCACCATGGCTACCACTACTACCTCGACTTCAACAACCCCGGCTACCGTTTTCCCTCGCAGCCATGTCGGTTTCGACAGTATCACCTCCCAGATTGAAAGGAAACTCCTCAAACGCGGTTTCCAGTTTAACGTGATGTGTGTTGGTAGGAGCTCCCTGATCTACTTGTATATAGATAATTATTGACCGTCAAACTGACTGTTAAAAAAGGCCAGACGGGACTTGGAAAATCGACCCTAATTAACACTATTTTTGCTTCCCACTTGATTGACTCGAAGGGTCGTCTGACTCCCAATGAACCTGTGCGCTCGACCACGGAAATTCAGACCGTCTCCCACAGTAAGTCATTGTCACACATTCATGCAAAAGGTATCCAGTTAATATTCAGCAACTAGTCATTGAGGAAAATGGCGTACGTCTCAGGCTAAACATTGTTGATACTCCTGGATACGGTGATCAAGTAAACAACGATAGATGGTATATGGCACTCCTCACATGTTTGCATTGGTCAAGCTAATCCCTTACCAGTTGGGACCCTATTGTGAAATACATCAAGGACCAACATTCCGCGTACCTCCGAAAGGAGCTTACCGCTCAGCGTGACCGTTATATTCAAGACACCCGTATTCACTGCTGCTTGTTCTTCATCCAACCCTCCGGCCATGCGTATGATTTGAAGCCTCTGGAATTGGCGAAATATGACCGAGCTGACTATACTCTAGCCTCAAGCCCATTGACATCGTCGTTTTAAAGAAGTTATCTGATGTCGTCAATGTTGTTCCTGTAATTGCCAAGGCCGATTCGCTTACTCTCGAGGAACGTCAGGCGTTTAAGGAAAGAATCAAGGAGGAGTTTACTTTTCACAACCTGAAGATGTACCCGTATGATAACGACGAGCTCGATGACGAGGAGCGCGCGGTCAATGCCCAAATCAAGGTCTGCACCTCTCCGATACATGTGCTTAACCTGCCTCTGATGCATAAACAGGACATTATTCCATTTGCCGTGGTCGGCAGTGAGAGAACTATAGTTGTCAATGGTCAACAGGTTCGCGGCCGACAGAACCGCTGGGGTGTTATCAATGTGGAGGATGAGAATCACTGTGAATTTGTATACCTGAGAAACTTCCTCACTCGCACCCATCTGCAGGACCTTATTGAGACAACAAGCCAGATCCACTACGAGACCTTCCGTGCTAAGCAACTTCTTGCTCTGAAGGAGAGCAGTGCAGCGGGAGGTCACAGTGGTGGCAGCCGGCCCATCAGTCCCTCGGCTGACAGGGAGCTCAGCCGCAACTCTCAACGGATGACCATGAATGGCTATTAACAGCGCATAAGAGCGTTAAGCATAGATCTCAATGCTCCATGGAGCAAGCCGTCCATGCCAGTTGTTTCCATACATAGGTGCACACGCAGACAGCTTAGGAGCAATGTCGAGCGTCCCTTTACTTTTCTTCTTATTTCATACATAACTCATCGTTCATACCAGCATGTTCTTACAGATATCCTTTTAACTTCTGATTTATCCTTGGCTTACTTTGTTGCCTATTTTGCTATCTCCCAAGGTGCTTTTATTCCGTTTTCTACGATTGAAATTGTTATTACAGACCAGAAAGCGGCTAGCAAAGATAGCGCTAGCATCCATTTTAATTGTCTCATGTACTTAACTTCCTTAATCAACACCCCACGAGGGAAATACAGTTGATATAACCCAGAGGTGCTGCCAGATAATGCATTATAAACAATAGAATCAATCACCGTCCATAGCGTTGCCAATTCGCTTGATCAATGATGACACCCCTTCTGCAAAAAATCTTATCCCATAGGCTGGTTGGTTATTGCTGGGCGCCGAATCTACCACTGTCGACAATCCAGTCCCTCAACTCAGTATAGGCCTCTTCCAAAACGTTATTGACAACTAGCTTGTCATGTGCGCCGGGCTCCTTGGCATACTCGAGCTCATTTTTGGCCTGTGTTAAGCGTTTACTGCCGAAGCTGCGGTCAATACCTTCTCGTATACAACAGAAGAGATGCGATCCTTCCGATACAACTCACCTCAAGCTCTCTTCGGACTCAGTACCTCTACCTCGCAACCTCCGTTCTAGTTCTTCAACCGATGGCGGGGCGAGGAACATAAAACGAGCGTTCAGGTCAGTACGCTTCACTTGCTTCACGCCCTGTTCAATTAAAGCCATCAGTACGACTGTCTCGGCCTAGTGTTCATCCTCCGTGAAGCTCATGGTTTTGACACCCGTGGCAATATGTGGACTCAATTACCTCCATCTCAATGTCGAGGATACAAATCCTACCCTTCTCTGCAATATCTTTCACGGCCTGGACACTGGTACCATAGTAGTTCCCTCCAAACTGCGCATGCTCAATGAATCCATTTTTGCTCACAAGGTCCAGGAAGTCCGCTGTTGTTGTAAAATAATATTCGCGCCCGTGCTGCTCGCCCGGCCGTGGAGCTCTGGTGGTGTCTGCACTCGGTAAGCAAATGGTTAGCTTACAAGAAGTGAGACACAGAATTGTTGTTGAAAAGCCAGAAAGGTTGGGGACGGACGCGAAACAGAAAAACCAAAGGTGTCAGGATAATCAGCAAACAGTCGTTTGAGTAGAGTTGATTTTCCAGCACCAGAGGGGCCCGATACCACTACTGGGCGAAACTTTTGCACTATATACAAGTCAGTATCCTGGTAAGTCCACGCGCGTTGAGGGGTATGCGCTAACGGGATTCGCACCAGCACTGGTTGACATTGTCAAAGCTGAGTGGCGAAGGAACAACTGGATGCGTCCACTATGAGAATGCAAGGTTGAGCGAGACTTTAAGAAGCCTTGCATAGACAGGAAGCACACAGGGAAGAACTGGAAACGAGGTCTAGACCCTCCAGAACTGCCGCTTTTTGACTCTGAAGATGAATTATCTAAAGGCGGTGACCACAGACTACAGCAAACACCACAAACAGGAACCGACTGTTTTCATTCAATTGCATGTAAATTCGGTCATAAACAAATAATTAGAAGTACACGTTTTGATAAGGTCCTGCTTATCATATAGCTCGCGGAGAACTATCCTAACAAATTCCTGACACAGTATATGTGAGCAGCGACGGATGTGTATCGAATGTCTTCTAGATACCCCACAGCATTCAGGGTTTTGGTTGTATATATTCCTGCGCAGTCTGAGACTCCTGCTCAAGAAAGTTAGACCAAAGCTCCGCCAGCGACTCCTTGTTTGAGTTCCCATTATCTAAGAATTCAGTAGCCAGCGTTGGAGTGCTGGGGGTACGATGAATAGGTGTACTTGGGACTCTAAGCTTGTTAGAGGTACCTGAAGTTCCTGGGCGTGCTAGACCAGCCTGTTCTCGCTGTTCTGGTGCCGGTTGTCAACTCTCGTGTCTCTGAGGGAGGGAAATCGAAAATAACATCACATACCATCTGTCCAACCTAAAAGAGCCGAAATAAGTTGCAATATCTGAAATTTCTTTGGGTCTGACCGATCAAGAGCAAGGAAATGTAGAAAGTGGTTCGTAACAATATGCCTAACTGAATCGTCAGCAAGTGTCAACAAAGCTACTGAGGAGCTTCTCTGGTATGGTAAGTCTCGACGTGCCTGTCAACATTATCCTCAGGTTTCCCTTTCTTGAGAAATCTCAAGGCCTTGGTCAAGTGATCGTTCAGTGTCACTGCCTCATGTCTGAGTTTGCCAATGAGGAGATTCTTTTCCTTTACTTCTTTCTCAAACGGCCCCACTCTCTCCAGTTCTTTCTGTGCACTTCGGAGAGCTTTATCAGCGTCCAACGCCTTTTCCTCCGCACAATGAAGGGCCTGTTTTAATTCTTCAAGTTGAGCGTCTGAGCTCTCTACGAGCTCACGAAGTTCTTTTCTGCGAGCTGAGACAGGTTAAATCTTTCATCCATGACAATTCATATGCAAGGATTTGCTTACCGGTCTGGATTTCCTGCAGGGCTCGCTGTAACCCATCCACGGCGGCTAGTTGAGAATCGCGTTCATCGGACGTTCTTTCATAGGCATTTTTGAGGCTAGCAAGCTGCTCCTCAAGGTCTACAACTTTCTCGCCTAGAGTTTCCCTGATAGACCGCTCTTCCATAGCTAGAACTTCCCAGTTGTGCATAGCCTCCTTAGCTTGTTCGAATTCGGATTGAAGATATGATTGTTGCTCTAATAGTTCTTCCTTCTCCTTCAGCCAGTTCTGTTGTGACAAGTTCGTCCGGTCTCGTAATGTTGATATCTCCTTCGACTTGTGTTCATTCGCTTCCGAGAGCTCTGTCAGCTCAGAGCATTTCACCTGGAAATTCTCTTTCAGCGCTGAGTTCTGCTCCTCCAGCTCCCCGATTTTCAACCTAGCTTGAGCAAGTTCCTCCTATCAAAATGTTAGCTACAACTCAACGGTTCTGGGTAAATGTGGATGGGCGCACAGCGTCTTCTTTGAGTCGTTCACCTAGCTGCGACTTGATTGTATTAACACGCTCCAATAGCTTCTGGAACTGTGATTCCGCGTGCTCTTTTTTGCCCTCTGCATCGTTCAGTTTGTGCTGTAGAGCTTCCATGTCCGCTCGATGCTTAGATTGTATTTCTTCTAAAGACCTCCGCATGTCCGTCACCTCAGCACGTAGTGAGTCCCGATCCCGTACAAGAGCGTCAAATCGTTCTTTCGATTGGAGTGCATCGGGGGGTGAATTGGTCATACTGCGAAAGTTCTCCTTTTCTCCATATCGGGACACTGCTTGTCGCTGGTCACTGTAGTCATTTCTTAAACAATCATTGGAAACGCTCTCATTTTCACTCATGGGAACCTTCTGCTTCTCCGTAACCCTCTCATCGGTCGAATTGGGTACGACGATCTGGTCTCGTTTATTAGCAATCGCAGAGAAAATCAAGTAGGTGCACCCACGCTTGAATTTAACAAGTCGGAGGATCCCTCCTCCCATAGTTTTGCAGACACGTCCTGCTGCTCTTCATTTTTCTTGTCATTGCCTTCCCCGTTCTTGACGGAGCCCTTGTTCTTCCTCTTGTTTCTCGGGTTGCTGTCTGGTCAAGAGTGATTTGTGAGAACGGCACTCGGGGGAGTGTGCGGAGCTGTCCGTTAATCAAATACGTACCTTCGGGCATTTTTCTTTTGAAATTTTCGGGATATGTTTTGTCTTTTAAGTCGATGATGGCGGCCACCCGGGAGTGGTTACAAGATCAACCATAGCTGTCAACATCCTTTAGCGCGGCCGCAGTTATTCGCTAGCTCCCGAACCCCGAACCTCTCGCTTAGGTACATACCAGGAACGACGTAACTACCTCAAATATATTGAGCTGCGAAATCACCACAGACTTAACGAAAGCAAGAAAGTGTTTCTATCAATACATATGCTACTATTGTGGTATTGTTTCGAGTTTGTGTTATTGGGTTCATGTAATGTCCAGTCTTTTCCCATTAGCTACCTACATCTCAGCGCCACGTAGTATACTTCAAGAGCGAAGGTTAAATAAAACAGTACACGGAAAACTTACCATGAAGGATATAATTAAACCAGTCATGGCCAGCAAAATCGCTAATAAATCAAAAAAATATATACAATAAAAATATATCAACTAACCAGAGCTTGCTTTGATTTCCGATGAGAAACCAGGTAGAACCGGTGATCAAAATGGGAATGTTCTCAGGTGTCCAGTAGTATGTCTAAGTCGATGTGGAGGTGGAAAGATTGGTTTGATATATCCATAGAACGGTTTCCCACGGAAGCTGGATTTTTGTAATCACATGAAGTCATCAAGGAAGTCAGGATCCCGATCTTGATTGCTGCTTCCCTGGACGTTCTCCTCACTCATCAGATCATCGTAGGCATGCTCTTTCTGCCACTTCAACTGTTCCCTTTCTCTCTTTTCTTTCTTTTCTCTTGCTCGCTGCTCGTCTCTGGTCTTCCTCTCCTCTCTCTGCTTCTTTTTCAGAGATTCCTCTTTCTCTGCCATAAGATCGGGATGTTTTTCCACGCGAGTTTTATTAAGCCGGTTGACTATAATATTCTCCCTTTGTCGAACGAAAACTTTGCGCACCAATTTGGGATTGTGAAAGGAGACTTGACCAGTAGCCATAGACCCGTCTTTCATCAAGTTCGACCATGGTGTATAGATGATCGTGATGTTATCTTTTTTATTCCCTGGTACGTAAGTTAGCTTACTGTGCATTGGTAGCAGTACAGTATATTGGTTATGAATGGAAAGATTATTCACCCTCGATCGAATTCGCCTTCGTAAGCTGTGCGCAGTCTTCTAGAAGGGGTTGTGGGATATTGTCCCATGATTCACTGTCACGGAGGCGAAGATAGACATGTGCACTGGACAGATTATCAACATGAAACTGATCACAAAGTTAGACGGCATTCAAGAGGGCTTTGCTGTGTAGATGTAATGATAGCGAACCCTGTACAGGCCATCAAGACCAGCGACTGTTAGCATGCACTGCCACGATGAAGGTCAAACAACGGTGACAATACCAAACATCCTTCTCTAATCCATATTTTATAAGATCCTCATCTAGTTTTTAACCATTGTCAGACTTGTACCATGTCCTTGAGCTTGGAATATGGCCATCATACTCTCAAATTTGTCTTTCCCGACATAGATAAAAGCGGATGGCTCAACCACATTCGATGTGAAGTAATATACCATATTGCTGCAATTATCTCTCCCGAGAAATCTTCAGTCAGATGACAGTAAAAAGGTATTTAAAGCCAACTGTCAAATTGTGAACACCGGAGTGTGTATTGGGAAGTGGGGTGTAGATTTTCCTCTAGTTGATTTTGTGGGGAACTCCGTTATGAATACTTAGTTATACACATAAATATATAGATTAGTCATTTATTCTTGGTGTATTCCGACCTGTTCTTGGGAACGCGCATGTATCTGGTTATGCTTTGATAAAACAACACCCAGTGTACGTGCACATGAAGCTAGCCAGACTAAGGTGTATGAGATTCTCTCGACGGCTAGTTGAAGAATTGATAAGGTATTATAAGCATATAATCTATTATACTGCTAATAGTAATACCCACATGCATAGCTTCAAGCAACCAGCATGGCTCCCAAGGAGTTGTTCAGGACCTAGGCAGCCTGGACGTTTTCCTCTTATTTTTGGCGCGTTTTATTGTATAGCTCGCTGTAATAATGCTCTCAACAAAGGTCTGAGGTTCTGGGACACAAATTAGGAACGATTTCACTACTACCGTAGTAGATGGTAAATCACATACATGCCTAAGTTCTTTCCAAAAAAAAGTAAGTACTCGAAACAAGTCTACTATGTGAGATAACTCCGTGGCTAAGATTACATCATGATCCTATCATTATTCAAGCCTCCGAGTGGTCAGTGAACAAAATGGAGCTGCTTGGAACAAAACAGAACCCCACGGTTTGCTCTTGCAAATTGGACGCAGGGTCGGCTTGAATATATATTGTCACCCGATGTAAGATGTCCCTAGTATGTGTGTTAAGGCTCAGAACGCCATTAAAACTGAAATTTATATGGTAAATAATCCTCCCCTGCCGGCAGATATATATAGGGGGAGAGTGCGTGTGTGTTTGTATTATATTCATATCAACCCCTAGAGGCCACGAGCAGCTTGGAAAGCAGTCATGGTAGACCAATCTTTTTTTTTTTAAAAAAAAAAAAAAATATTATGTATCAATAGTAGTCATGGGGATTATTTCCGACATGTATACTTCTATGTGTATCTTATATGTGAAACGAGACAGCAGTGGAATAGAAGATATCTCCCAGTAGGCCAATTCAATTGCTAAGTAGGCGGTTTAGTCATTTCATATACCTAAATGAGACCTAGGAATTGAGGACACTTGTAAACATCGAGGTTCCCGCTAAAATATGAGTCCGGCTGGCATGAAGTGGCTGTCCCACCTACAGTTAAGTGTAGGTATTATATCTACAAGCCTGCAAGATCATATGATAAACAATTATCCTAAAAAGCAAACACCCCGTTACCTATTCCACTATGACTGAAGCGATATAAATAAAATGAGACGCTGTATATAGTGTTGTACTCTACAGTAATTACACAGCATAGACATGTCAACTAGTAGCTATTTGTCACATTCCCATTCGACTGAGCCTGGAATGATGGGCTCCAGTAGACTCTTCGGAATAGATTGTCTGTTACCAGAAATATGCTACCATCAAAACATTCTGGCATTGGTGCTACAGCGCTGCGAGTCATGTAACAGCCTTCCACTGACTGCGAGGAAAGGCTTCATGGCATACCCACCTAAGCCCCACTTTTCTTATGCACCGGACCATACAGGCAACCTATATATAAAAGGAGGGTAAAAAAAAGCACACACACACACACACACACACACACACACACACACTCACTCACTTACTCACTCACTTACTCTGTACAGCGTACACACAGAGAGAGGGGGGGGATTGGGGGAAAGATGGGTAGAGGGAGGTCAGCTTCGAGCTCTTACTGCCATATATCGACCACACATTAAACAGTCTGCCTGGCTAAACATTATCTTGAAGTAACTGTTCTATTATAAAAAGGAGCGACAGTAACTGCAAATAAAGAGGAAGTACAACTACCTACTATTATTTGTCCAATGCAAGCCCCGGTTGTACTCAGGTTGTTGACCACAGCTGGAGACTATAAATGCATAACTAATTAGTTTGCAACCACTAATTGATCGTGAGGCAGCTTAGAAGACCATTGTGCTGTAAAGCCCTGTTAAACCCTACTGTGGAGCCTGAATCAGATCCTTTCCCAACAAGAGGAGAAACCGTTACGCCAAGAGTTAAGTAGCAGCGCTATAACGGGTGAGCCCGTACAAAACCCCACCCGCCACATGGCTCTTCGGAACAGGTTCCTCTTAGATAAAACCAAGCAAAAAGTTAAAAAAGGAGGGGGAAAATAAAAGTGAAAGAGAGAAAGAGCGTATATGTGTGTGAAAGATGGATGTTGGGGGAAAGAAGCAAGACACTTCTTCAACAAGCATTTATACTTGTAATATGCTCAGCATTTTCTTTTGAAAGGATTTCGACAGAAGTGATCTTTGAATAGCCTTGGTATAGAAGAATTCGCAAGTACCCCACCATAAAAAACCCTAATGTGATCTATTTCGGTATGAGATAGAAAAGAGAGAAAGACGCTTAGAGACAAAAATAAGAAGAAATACAGGGAAGATTAATTCACAACTGTTCTCTGCAATGCCAACAAAGTAGTTGTGATCTTCGTCACTCGTAGAAAATGCGATCCACACCCTTGTGCTCCACCTAGAGTGTGTTAATTTGATAAAAGCCTGGGGCTTGCCAAAAAGCGAAATTTCTACCTTTCTTTTTTCTTTCTTCCTTCTTTTTTTAATAGGGGGGTGGAAGGGGCGGTTGATGAAATATTTTCCCTTTGCCTTTTTCCCACGGTAGATTGGATCTGGGCTGTTTCTGTGTTGATTTCTACCATTTATTTTATTTATTTAATTTTTTTAAAAAGAAAATTAAATAAGTAAAGTAAAGATAAATAGAAATATAGAAAGGAACTTCTCCCATGAAACTCTTTACAGATTACAACACCAAACAGCCCATCAGAAGAACTAAACCCCCAATGGCCAACTCTACCTCTTCTGTAATGCGACCAAACGTCCTACAATCGTTGGAACGAGCCAGGAATTGTGAAGAGAATGATGATGATCGCATTATCCTTGATAATGCTGTCACGGAGCTATGGCGAAGGGTACAGAGTCAACCGGACACTTATGTGTTTACCCCAGATGAATTCGCTCTCTTCAACTATTTTATCGCCCGTTTTCAGGGTTCGCTTGTCACTCGAGGAGCAGTGGCGCGATTTTGGGACAATTATCGGCGAAACGGCTCGGGTCTGGACTGAAATGGCATGTCAATACCTTCGGCGCAGCGCCGGCTATCAACATGTGGAAGCCCATTCCAGTTTGCAGAAGAAGCTGGTTTCGTATATCAGGGTCAAGCAAAGATGCAACCACCAGAGTGATATGATAGATTTTCTCTCCCTTTTCCTTTTCCTATAGTGGTTGGAGGACCAATGATACCCGCGCCTGGTTGCGATTTGACCCGTGCATAGAGAGACGCGTGCGATTATTTTGGAAGTCATAAAAATAGCGGAGATCGACATTTTTTTTCTGAGTTGCATCTTGAATCACCCGGATTGGACAGGTTCTGACGGTACCTGTCGATGGCGCTTATTGGAAGATTGGCTACGAATCTAAATCCAATATGAGTCGATTATACCCGAGTGGCTGAAAGGTTGATATCCATGATCTAGCCATTCATTGCCTGCATCGGGGTGGTTGGCCCTTACGTTTCCTCGTCGCCTTGACTTTTGCTTCCTTATCTGGGTTTCTCTCTTCTTTCAAATCCCGCTCATTCAATCAAGGAGTTTACAATTTCATTCCAATGTCTAAATTACTGAGCTACATATGTTGAAAATTAAATCTTTTCATTTATTTGGCTTAAGTGAGATACACGCTGTCTTGGCTCCACCACCGACCCCCTTTTTTGCCGCCGATTTCCCTCCCATTCTAATAACTATCGATATTTTGCAGTCATGCTCTATCTCTAGTATAGATTGGTATACATATATATTTTCGTCCAAAGTAGGATAGAAAAGTGACACCTTGAACCGTGTACTCTTAAGAAGACATACACCCAATTTAATTGTTAAATAGATTATAAGAAATATCCCAGAGTACAGGTAGCCTTTCGGTTAGTCAATCACTATCCATACAAACATCAAAAATCTACATATAGCTCGTGAGATAGAATTTGTGTGGTCACAGGAATATCAGATAGAGTTCCAATATAAAGATCCCAGTTGGGTCGGTCTATCGCAACTTGGAAATATTTCCATTTAACCCATAAAAGATGGTGTATCTCTACACAGTTACGCCTTGTTGAGGAAGTCCCAAAACCTTTGAACTGATAGGCAATGTAAGCATCTGTATATAGTTATATAGTCATGGATACACATAGAGTTCTTAGGTACTGAAATCTACCCCTATGATTTAACCAACTAGTAACTGGCCATAAAACCAAGGGCATAAAGTGCAGACAAAAGAGCAAAAGAACCTGCACGGGTCCTTTATATAGGCGGCGACAGTTAAGCTTGAAGCCATAGATAAATAGACTATGAGTCATGTGACCACCAGATTCCCTCCTTGGGGCTATTTGTAGCTACATTTTTCCTGGTCAGCAAATTTGTCTGTTACAATCACATCATAAGATATCTCCCAGCGCGAGCTCCATTCCGTAACTTTTCCATTGACTGGACTGAGGCTTGGTAGGTACTCAATCTACCTTTCTGTTCCTGGACCTTAAGACTAGTACTCAGTATCATGAATAAGTGTATATACTACATACAACTACATACATAATATTACAAGTACACTGGTACCCCATATTAAGGTCTGCCTCTAGGATATATTTACAATCCGTTCTTGGTGCCCATTCCAGTCAGCCAGACTAGATCCTCGATCACGTACTCTTCTTATATAAGCGTCTGATAGCGAGCCGATAGAGATACCCTACAAGCAGAAACTCCCATTTAAGTCAAATCTAAGAGCATGAAATATCAGACCAAGTCCAAAGAGGAAAAGAAAGAGAACGCTTATAACCTCGTTGCTTACCCCTTAGGAAGTAAGGTTGATTAAGTCGTCAGTTG